ATATATATATATATATATATATATATATATATATCGCAACAAAAAAAAATGTTTATACTATGCTATGTGAAGGATTTACATACATCTAGTGTAATTCAACAATTCGCAGATGTAATTCAACAATTAACGATTGCATGAATTGGCGCTTCTGTTAGTGCACATTGCAAATAATAAGCGCAGATAAATTCAATATGTAACGATAGCATCTTAATTGTACAGAAATGAATTTGGATAATTTTCAAATCTTACAATCTAAATTGGTAAATATAATTAGTATATCACAACATAGTAACTTATGAACTATTATATTTTCCTTTCTCATGAAATTTTACGTTTATTCGCGACAGGAAATCTAAAATTTAAATGTGTAACTTCTGAATTTAGGTAATTATGGCATTTATTTACTTCAGAATATGAGGTAGCATCACGTCCGGTTCTTGCGGCAATGGATTCTGCTTTGCATGCAGATGGCATTTATTCCGAAAAAGTTCGAAAATTGGATCGGTTCTTACAAGGTTAAATACATTTATTTAACTAACACTTTCCTGATAAAAAATGAAAGTTTAATTTTTTATATTCAATTTAGGAATTTAGAAGAGGATGTTGCTTCCTATTTTAATTCGTGGTGGTACCATTGAAAATTAATTTGTTCTGTGAATAATTGTTTTTAAGTTTGGAAACAAAATTACTATCTATGGAGACAAAATTGCTATTTATGGATAAACTGTTTTTTTGAATTTTATTGAAATTTCTCAAAATGTTGCTAAGTTGAAATATGATTTCCACAAGATTTTTGCCATTTAAACTTTCTAGACATAAAGAAAAAGGATGGGAAAAAAATGACAGTTCTGTCTTGTGCCATCTCTTTGACATTAACTGTCTATTGTCCTTTTCAAATATGTCATCGGAATTTAAAGCAGGTGGCGGTAATATTGAGGATTCATTATCTGAAGATGGTCTTGTTGAGCGTTTACGTGATAGATTTGAAAATCAGTTTCTTGATTCTCCTGCATCAACAACTAGAAGCTTGAAAGCTGAATTTGAAGAACTTTCATTTCGACCAACAGTTTCGGTAAAAATTAAATTAAATACGATTATCCAGTTTTTCCAAAAATCAGTCTTATCTTGATAGTGAATGAATTTGAATAATTGAAAAAAAGAATTAAATTGTTCAATTAACTGATCTACCAAAGACCAATTACAATTAACCATAATACATGTTATATTTTAGCAATACGGTTATCCACAGACGGACTTTTCCTGTCTTCAAATAGCAACATTTAATCCACAGTATAATACTACGACATCATCAATCCTAAAATCTAAAAAAGTAATTACTGTTTAATTCATTTTTAAAACTTTTTTAGCAAACAAAAAAAAAACCGAGAAAAAAACAAATTAGGACATACATTTCCCACAAATTTGTAACAATTTTCACTGTCATTTTTTATTATCAATAGAAAAAGTTGAAAAATTATCAAAATGATTAGTGTTGATTTGTAGATTGATCGTCATGTTGAAGAAGATTACTTTGAAGGAGGACATATACGCTTAAATGCATACAATATCGGTGACGTAAGTATTTCCACTCTACTTTTTCCTTCTTTTTTTGTCGGTTTATTTTACAAAATTTTTTTTGATAAACAATAATATTCCAGAATTATTTATGCATCAAAACTTATTAACGGTCAGTTACTAAGTGGAATACTTCATTAACATATCACTTTTTCATGTTTATCCAATTTTAAAGAATTTCAGGATTTAGCTTTATCCGATTCTGAGCTACCACAATTATCCCGTTTCCAGCAATTGCAATGGGCAATAAAACAAAACACAAAATACTATACTGATCTGGCAGCACCCAGAAATATGTGCTGCAATATTATGTAAAATATTAACAATATTGTTACATCAATAAAGAATATGATTCCACTCTAATATGAAATTAAAATACATAATACATACAAAATAAAAAATATTGAGGAGTCGCTAAATTCTCATTTATCAATTTAAATATTCAGCCATTTCATATACAGAACATTGCTAATTTGATACAAAAGGTTACAGCTTTGTTTTCTTTTCTTTTTTTTCCGAAATTGTTGTAATTTGTGTGCAAAGTTGCAAATGCTAAGTATGGAAATTTTCGAGAATACCTACTGTTACTTGTTGTGCACTTGCAAAGACTTTCATCATCATTTTACACTTATAATTTTAATTCATGAATTAAAATTTTTTATGATGCTATGCAGCAAATACAGTTAATTTTCTTAACAAATGATTAATCGGGTTCAGCCACTAACTTTTCCATATCTAAAAAAGTTCAAAGAATGCAACAATATGATAAAAGTAAAGGAATATGAAATTTTTTTCCGATTAACCAAAACACGCATGCCTGAGCCTGATTTTTCCCATTCAATTGATAGCCTCATTTTCTTGGAGGCTAAATAAGTAAGAACCTAAACTAGATGAGTGGAACAGAAAACTCAAAACACATCGAGAAATGCCAAATCATTGCGAAATATCTGCTGCACCTTTTCGCATTAAATTTTGAAATTTCCTAAAATGAATTACAATCATGCATGAGGAATTATGACATTTCCATCCGAAAATCGCGCAACATTTTGACTTTTTTTAATTTAATTGCTAAATTGAACTGAACCACCTTTCTCTGAATTTGCTATTAAGTTGATCTCATCCAGACTTACGGTTCCCTGGCAATACATCCATATTTTTCCGCCAATTCTACCTTAATAATTATAAAATCTTGTAATTCATTAAGCCGGAAAATTGCAGATATTTAGAAAACCAACCAAGTAACTAAGGAAAAGGAAGCAATACTATTGGATGATTATGGCTTTCCTGAGTGATTCACAGTCAGCAGAATAATGAGTATAGATTAGTTAAGCAATTGAGTGTTGCGATGGAAGGCAACCGGACGACAATACATCAGTAAAGCCCAAATTTGCTACGATATATTTCAAAGAAAATCTTTTTCTTTCAATAAAAAGTTGAATAAAAAAACAAATTTACTTCGATAAATTTACAAAAGATTCCCATTTACTTTATAATTATCTGCACATCCTACGGTACAACACGTCAACCGTGACCGTATGCTTCACGTACATTTTACGTATGTCTTCAGGAAGTAAATTCACTCTGGCAATCATCAAATCTGTTCCGTTTAATTTACGTAGCAATAAATGAGCAATCACTACTACTAACTCCTGCTTTTTCTTACTGGAACAGAATCAGATGACGCTTGCAACCGTACTGCCCACAACCGTCAACAACAATCTATGCTTGCTCGTGATAAGACCCAATCGCTCTCATATAACATTGCAGCTGCAAACTTTCGCGAATTTCTTGTTAAGATCCGCAATAAGCAAATAAGAAGAGGATGAGTTAGTTTCAGGTTGGTGGCCTGATTTAACGGGTCGTGACCTGAATTGTGAGCTGTTATATTGGGTTGGGAGTTAGTGATATGGTTGTTGGTGTGCTTGATTGATTTCGAGTTGTGAACAATAGTCTTGATTTGTTGATTGTAGTTATGGAAATGATCTGAAGTGACAGATTGTGGGCATAACAGTTAGTTTGTTGTGATTTGTAATAGTGAGTTATAGTCTAGTTTAATGACTTACAACCTGATTCATTGAAATGTTGTGCAGAAGAGCAGCTCATAATTTGGATAACCGAATTATTGTGGATTCATTCGAGTTGATGAACTGTGGCCGTAAGTTGAGTGGTAAATTGTGGATTGTAATGGCCGTGGATTAGATGGTTGGACGTCTTTTTTTGCACATAATTTACCTCTTTGTTATGGCACTTATTTTACGATAATGAGTGGTTTAGTATTCTTTTTTAGATAGTGTTACCGTCTGTTTATCCTATTGCCTTCAGATTGAATGCTGACTTAATTGTCGTCATCGTGGTCATCATGCACATATACATATATGTGTTTGTTGATGATAGTTGTGTTAGATGATGATGTGTCTATTATGCCTTGTCAGATTTAAGTATCTCATTCTTGCATATGTCACAAGATTACTCAACAAATGCTAATGTGTTAACAAAAATCATTAAAAAAAGCCACTCCTTCCCAAAGCAATTAATTAGTTGACCTCGTCTAACAATAATTTGATGGCGATTTACTGCGTCAAATATAATATAGCATGACGATATGCGCGAAATATTGAAAAATGTGTATGTTACATCAAGATTGCCTTCAATACCCAAATACATCGAACTGCATTCTACCATACCTTTCTGGATGAGGCTTATTTTACCGTCTCACTTGTAATCCTTCGAAAGAATAACTACACTCACTTTTCACTTTAGTCCAGGTAATAGCAAAGTGATCAGTGATTCAGATAGTCATTGTTGTCGCAGTAGCAATTTCATTTCAGTGTACTTTGATATCTCTCCAACTTATGAGTACTACAAAATTTTTTCTATCACATTTATACAGCTATGAGATAAATCAAATGGTATTAAAAAAAGGAAGAATCTTTTCATCCGTTTTTGAAAACTTTTGAGGGTTGATTGAGTTATGTATTAACTGCCTAATTATTCAAGTATGGGATTCCATTGTGGATGACTCAGGAATTTTCAGTATTCACGGTCAACACAAAATTTTATTAATATGTTTCCAGATGACGTTCACAGTGCTGAAGATCGAGTCGTTGCGTCTATTGTTACAAAATCTTTCATTATAACTTGTTTTTAACTCTTTTTTTTCTTCCACAGCGATGTGAAATTGCTACATGAACCTCACTGTAAATTTGTGTTCAGTTCCTGCTGGCTGAGTTGTCCGCGCTTTTCGGCTTCGAATTTCATAAAGAGAAGTGTTTGTTTCCAGGAGGAATATTTCTGTATTATAAGGAAAATTATCAATCTTCCATCTAATTGGATTGTAGTTGTCATCGTGTAATGCCCGCGCGGTAAGCATTTAATTCCATTTCTAAATTTACTTCATGCATGAAAATTAGTGTCAGGTTATTGAGTGTCCCACATATCTTGCGAAATGTATTAGTTTGTCTGAAGCATTTTAGGAGCGGTGCTTCTTAAGTTAATTTGAACTAAATGTTAGCTTTTTTTCTCCTATTGCATTGTTGTTCTGCACTGACCTCATTCGTTATGTAGTGATTTCTAAACTCTAAATGAGGCATGTCCCGCAGCAGTTTTTTCTGGAAAACGAGAAGTATTTTGAAATATTTAAAAGTTTGAAAGGGTCATTTCGGAAGCGCTGTTAATCTAATTGGTGGGTTGAGTGAACACGAGCGTGAAATTAAAACTAAAATTGGAAGACGAGACCGTCTTGAAATTTCAGGAGAAGTGCGGATGAAATTCCGACAGAAAAATCGAGTGAGCTGAAACATCTGCAGGTATCCGATCCGATTTTTTTAACTTTTCTTTTGCAAACATCCATATTTCATACGAAGTTATGGGTGAGAAATCTTATTTTTTTTTTTTTTTGTCATACTTATCAGTACTCGTAGTGGAAGTATTTTCTTTTTTGAGGATAGTTTGACGCGATTTTTCACTCCCACCAATCAGAGGCGCTCTAGAGTTGCACAGTCATCATTCTCATTAGAAAGTTTTGAACCAGGCGCTTCATCATCACGAGCTACATCATGCAAGTGCGTCGATTCAAAAAAGGTCGAGAATATCAAGTTGGATTTTGGGATTTTTACATTCTATATTTTTTATCGCACTATGTTTCCAAGCATGTCAGATTTCAGGATTCAAGTAAAGAGAAAATTCAACGAAGCCCGAGGCCAGTGAGAAAGTTTTCAGCAAAAGACATTAAAAAAATATCGTTTCTGGGGAAATTAACAAAACAGGAGGCAAAATTGTAAGTTATGATTGGGTATCATCCTTTTTTTTAATTCCTTCCCATTAAAATTGTAAATCCTTTTTATCACATATATAAAAAATAAATTTCGGCGTAATTTTCATATCACTTCAACTTCTTAAAATGAAATGTAACTAGGATTTTTTGCAATTCCAGCATCACTTTTCTGCCATCTCCATTGATACGAAACATGGCGACTTTCAGTCACATACTTCTCCGCAACCTTCTATAAGTTCACCTTTAAAATCGGGTAAGTTTTAAGAGTTATTTCATTCACTGGACGTAAAATTGTTTCTAAACTTGAAATATTTGATTGGTCTCGACTTATTGTCCTTATTATAGGACATATTCATTTTAAATTAAATCGCTGGAATTACAGGGCAGTCAACACCATCGCCGCATCGCCGTACGGATGCACTTTTTGATGCGTTGTCTCCGTATTTTAGTGCAGCCTCTGAAAAGCGACGGACTTTTTCAAAAGTACATTTTATTCTTTATTAATTATGAGTTCGTTCTAACATGTTCTGGAAACAGTTCTTAAAATTTTTTCTCAAGTTTGAAGTTTGAAGCAGTGGATGTTCACATTTCAGGGACAATATGTTCATCTTTCCGGGGGCCGTACAAGAACAAAAAGTGGAGAGAGCAGCGCCGTCCATGGTTCGTCTTTCATATACCAGTTCATTGTGTGGGAGAGGAATTATTAAGTAGCTAATAAGCAATCTGTGATTTATTGATTTTATTAGAATTTGCTCTTTTCAGAAGACAGTGCGTTTTCCTCAAGTTGTATACGTCAACCAAACACCAGCGCAGCTGTAACATCAAGCGAATCACAAGATGAACTTCCTAGTACTGAACAACGACGGTATATTTGTATCTCCCCATCTGTTTCTTGATTTTATCTAAATTTTATCGACTGGATCTGAGCGCAGCAAGTATTTGAGTCAATGTTTTTTAAGGAATATTATACGCCCAGCAAGAAAGAAACGCCGTTCGACACATGTAATTGAACCAGCGACATCATATCAAAATTCATCGTCGATATATACTCGAATAAACGAGAAAGCAGCAGTGCGTCATTCATTTCAGAATGCATCTTTGTATCCGGTATAATCATATGCTTTTCTCTGCAGTTTAAAAATTTTGACTTTCCTTCTACGCGACTTTTGACACGTCAAACATTCAGGGTACTGACTTTGGCGCCAGTTTATTTACGGTATGAATGATGAAGTTAAGAGTTTCACTCAGTGTTTAGTTCATGATTAAAAACTCTTCGCTATGCATATAAATGCAGTTTTCGCATTGTTATTTTGTGCACTGGTTTTTATAAAGCCTGTCTTGAAATTTTTTCTCCACGTCACGCAACATATACGCAGGTAGTCTTCCCCCAGCTTTGCATCACCTTTGATTCTGAACGTTGCAGCAGATATAAAATTTCTCTATTTTCGGGAATTTTTATGCTTTAAAACTTTCCGAGTTTTTTCCTATACATTTAAAATTGTAAATGTTTGATGGGAATGAGTGTCTTAGGTTGAGTGTGTCTCGCGAAGTTCTGGATTACGACATGTGTCATCCAATTTGAAAAGTTTGGTCCCCAAAGGACTTGTATCACAACGGAGACTGCGGACTGCTTCGATCATTCGAAAGGCCAAGTCGCATAAAACACGGTTGAAATTACGGCAGTCATTATCTCCTCGTCTAGTGACAAGGTTCTTGCTGAAATATTCAGAATGCAAATTTTGGTTGATTTGTGCTTCTAATTTTACGTTTCCAATCCACTTTTTTTGCGCTCGTTTCCATTTCTAAAAACTTGTTAATTTACATCGAACCATTTTTTTAAAACGTTTCATTCCTTAATTTCGTGAACGGTTATTTCGTGGTCTTTTCTGATTGGTCGTTCTTCTATGACTTCCTGTTTCTATGAGCATTTTGCTGTCGTTCAACATATCGTGTATAGGGTGGTTGTTACACTTTTTTGTTCTACATTCTTATTTAGGAAACGTGTGGTATCACTTCGTCAGCCTCATTTGGATGAATTAAACATGGCAGGAGGGACGGTTTCTTTGGCGGAACCAGTGACTATAACCAATGAAGATCGAGAATTATACAACGCTGCTCGTAATTTAGCTGGATTGGTCTCTTTCTTATTTTTCTAAATGAAGTTTATTAATCTGTCTTCTTTAAAAAACAATATTTTTCATGAATTTTCGGAAGAAGGGAAACTTTTTAAAGGGGACTCGAAGATCAAGAAGAGCATTTTTTAAAAATTTCAAAGATTTTCTAATTGATATTTTCATCGTACCTAGTAATTTTTACTTTTTCATTCTATCTACTTGTCGCATCAGACATTTTCTGGATTTCCAGGACTTTGACACTACCTCCAGTGGCTGCACCGCAGGAGAGCGCAAAATTTTCAATGATGCGATTGATAATTCACGGAATCCAAAAGCAGTTCGGATTGGGAATTTTGAAATCGAAACATGGTATTCTGCACCATATCCAGCGGAATATGCACAACTATCAATTTTATATTTGTGTGAATATTGTATGAAATACATGAAAAGTTTGGAAATGAGGCAGAGACACTCGGTACGTTGCGGCGTTGTTTCATAAATATCTTATCAAATCTAGCAAATATCGAAACCGCTTTACAACCATGGTTTATTTCTCGGTAGTACTAAATTATATAAATACTATGCTATTTAACTTTTCCAGGAACGGTGTCAACTTCGACATCCTCCAGGCAATGAAATATATCGGAAGGATGGTGTTTCGGTATTTGAGGTGCAGAATTTCATGATTATTTTACGTAAGGCAAAAAAATTTATAGAACTGATTATATCAGAGTTATTTCTTGTGGATTTCATTATACTTTTTCAGGTAGATGGTTACTGTTCCAGAATTTACTGTCAGAATATTTGCCTTCTGGCGAAGTTGTTTCTGGATCACAAAACACTGTATTATGATGTGGAACCGTTCTTATTCTATGTGGTTACAAAGAATGATAGCAGTGGATGTCATTTTGTTGGGTATTTTTCTAAGGTAAGCTTTTCTTCAATTTTTCCCATATCCACTATATATTTGTAAATTGCAAGTTATTACTGTGGTACGATACTTCTCATTTGGCCATTCATATCAGTTTCACTTATCGTTCCTTTCATATCCGGCTCTTGAAAAATCATGCTTTTAAGAGTTATCATACGTGTTGATTCCTTTTCTTTTGTTTTCAGGAAAAATACAGTGCGCAGAAATATAATTTGTCGTGCATCATGACATTGCCTTCCTATCAGAGACAAGGATTTGGAAGGTTTTTGATTGATTTCAGTAAGTTTTTGCCAAATTTTAGTAAAATTTGGAAGGATCTTGAATTTTTTCTTTAGTAACTGTTGCCACTTCCTGATAAAAGGAAATGGTAACTGATTTTTTTTCCAACTTCTCGTTTTTCGTAATTTAGTGAAATTCACTTTTTTTTCAGTTTAAACATGCTTTAATAGATATGCTATTCTGTTTTCTAGATCGTAACGCATCCCACTGAATTGCAGGCTTCTTGTTAAGTCGGAAAGAAGGCATGACAGGGACACCAGAAAGACCTTTGTCAGATTTGGGTCGTTTTTCTTACAAAAGTTATTGGCGATCAGCTATATGTGAATATCTTTACAAGACTATTTCACCCGACAAAACAAAACGGCTGACTTTGAGGGGTATGCTGTCTGCTTAAATTCCTTGCTAGCAGTTCTATTGCAGACTTTAAATCACTTCTTGATAATACATTTAAGGTATTGCACGTGGAACGGGTATTTCGGTTTACGATGTTATGGAAACGTTACAGTCATTGAATATGCTTCAACGAATCAATTCTCAGTGAGTTTTCTTTTTTTGATGTGCATATATATAATGCATATACATATGTATATATACATGTGCATGACTTTCCAGAACTATTGCCAAAAGTTCTCAGAAGTAACTAATTATAATAACATAACAACAATCAACAAAACTGTATAGATTGTGCACTCTCTCTTCTAGATGCAATCTTTCCTGAAATCGGTTGACTGTGTTTTTCTTGACTGTGTTTTTCTCAAAGCTAAAAATATGATACAGTTTCTGCAGCATCCTACTACCATGCATCTGAGAGAACAGCATTTCAGGATGGTAATTATACTGAATATGACAATGTTGAAGAATCACTGGACGAAAGCAAAGAACGACACGAAGCGTATTTGGTTGGATGAAACGAAGCTATCAGTGAGTTAGATCTAAGTTTTACGAGTTTTAGTACAATTTTGGTTACTGATTAACTTAACAGAGAATTTATGGACTCCCATGCTTATTCTGGCAAATAATTCGAGTTGGAAAGGTTTTTAGGTAACTTCTGTAAAATCAAGATGAATTTGTCACCAAACATGAATGTCAGTTATTTATTTAGTTCTTCATGCAAGAAGACACTCGAATAGTTTAATAATGCTGTTGAGATTTAAGGGATATGCTGCGTTCTAGTTTGAATTTTCTTAACATTCATTTTAGTGGTTACCAGTTGTACATTCGCCTTCAAAGGAATATGGCGAACGATCATCTCATGTGTTACGCTCTCCGTTTGCTAGTCCTATCCGGCAAACTGCAATGCGACGTAATCGTGGAAGCATGTTGCAGAATGCAGGTGGTGGTAGTGGTACGCAGGAATCCAAAACAAATAGTGATTTTTTTCGAGAGAAATGCATCAAAAATGGTAAAACAATTCTGAAAAGGCAACCGTCTGATGACAATACATCGGATGAGGACAAGAAGACAATAATGGATTTGAAAACTACATGTCGAGGTAAGTGCATTAGTTTCTGACCATGTGGTATCATGATTAGTGGTAGTACTCTTTATCATTTGCATGCTGTTTTGATTGTAGATGGAAAGCAGAACAGGCGAATTTGGCGAAAAACAAGTGGTGATGATTCTGATGATGATGACGTGAAGTTGCAAAAGGAAACAAGGAAGAACATGCGCTTAGGTAGGATGAAATGCTCCGAAGCAATAAACAAGTTTCAGTTTTTCTTTTTCCTTTTTCGTCAAATTTCGGTTCATTTTATTGCAAGTTTTAAAACTCGCTAAAGGCTGTATGTATGGTTGAATTTCAGCAGAAATGAGCCAAAAGAAAATGTCAAAAAGAAGTGCAACCAATCGGCGTTTCCGAAAAAGTGGGACGAAAAAGGCTGTAGCAATTGAACCCTATACTTATCCATCATCATCTAATAGTGATTCATCAGGTAAATTCAATAGCATGGTCATTTCAATCAAAAATGTACTAGTGAGTTCTTTTGTTGAAAAATAAAACAGCACTATACACTTTGTTTCCGTTAGTTGTTCCCGTTATCCAGAAATTTCATTCCAGATCTAAGCGATGATAGTTCGGATGTTCGGAAAAATGGAAAAGCTTACAAGCCTTCCCACAGGAAGCATATATCACGTTCTCATTTTAAACGACGAAAGCAGGTGTGGATAAATTCAGATTTTGATAATGAATTTTCGCCTAATCATTAACAGTTTCCCACGTAATTAGTTCTATTTTATTCAAACTGAAAAGGGTTTTTGAAGAAAGAGAGGACAAGGAAGAAGCATCTGTCCCTATTTGCGGAAAAAGTAGAAGTGGGATTGCTGTGTTTCATTTATGCTCACGATAATATTGATTTAATTTAGAAAAGTATTACCAATGTTGAATCAATCGAACTAAATAATGTTAATGATCAAGATATTATGCCAGATAATAAAGGAATACCCGTGAAAACCATGAATTCGTATGTTTATTTGTTCTTTTTTTTTACGATTTCTTTAATATTTTTTAAAAAGATAAATACTAAAGTCGATTTACTCTGTTTTCGTCATGTCTGCCCATTTACAGAAATTGCCATAAACTACATCTTTATCACATATCATCTAGCGCTGATTCAAGTGGTTCTGAGGGATCATCCGATGACTCACTTTTGATTTTGAAACGACGCAGAATCAGTAATAGTACAAAACCGCTGTTTTCAAGGTATATAATTAATTCGCCGTGTTTCAGTTGAGTGTGAGGTTTAGTTGCATTTGCGTGCGAAACAACAGCCATAGTGATTTTTTTTCTAGTTTATGGAGTTTGTTCCGATGGATAGAAGTTTTTCATCCTTTAAATTTTCTTTCTTAGGATTTTTGAAAGTTTTGGTTTCAGCTGCGCAAACTCTCCAGAACCATTGAGAGATGGACATATAACTCCCAAATTGAGTGTGAGTCAAAAAACAGGTAACGAAATTCTTGACTGCGATAAGCCGATTGCAACTGATGCTCAGCAATCAAACAAAAATGAAAAAAGGTGAGGCTGCTTTGCACTTTTGATTTTTTAGACTATCCACAGTCGATATTTTCGACGACATTTTTATTTTTCCTTAATAGCCGTATTCATTAATTCTACTTTAAGTTTGGAATTAAGTGTCGATAATGAAGATGAACTGCCGCCCACACTAGAAGCGGATGGCGTCGACAGCAGAGTAAGAACTTTAGTTTTCCTTTTTTTCTTTTTTTTTGCTGTTAGCTTCCCAATTTCATAACTAGATTGTAGACTTCTTTTTGATTGAGATGATTTGGAACTTCTCCTTAGTAATTTTGAGAAAAATATCCCTTGAGTACAAATTGAATGCCATGTTTGCAGGATAAACTAGTAAAGGAATGGGACAGCCTGGATAAATCATGCTGTTCCGGAAGCAGTTTTCCAAACGGGATGCCGCTTCTCCGCGTGAATATTGCAGGGAATGACAGTGCATATGAGGGAGAAGATGAAGACGTCCCGCCAAGATTGTCGCCAAACTTTGCTCCGGTATGTTTGTTGGTAAAGATGCATCATACGCCGATGAATTTTTGAATAACAGTAATGGTGCATTGATAGTCCATGCTTTCTCTTATGGTTCTTTTTTCTTTTTTTTTCTTGTTTTTTTCTTTGACGCTGTAGCTCGGTGACTTTTTTCAACTTTTCTGTTGGAAAATTCACCATATTTCATAGGTTGAAAGTAGCGACACGAGTAGTCCAAAAGAACTCGAGTCAACACCATCTTTGTGCCAAACACTGCCCAGCAAATCTGCTCCCGATCTGCTAGTTGTTTCATCACCTTCGAAGCCTCATGAAACGGTGTCGAATAATGCAGCGTCACGGATTACATCTGTTACCAACACCATTTGCGAAATGGTTTGTTTCGTCTAATTTTTTAATCGCAAATCATAGAATACATGGAGTTGTTGGAATTTCTTCAAAAATTAAGTTTCCAGAGATCTAACTTCCGGTGAAGTCCTAAACTTTCAGGTTAATTTGGGTGGCGATGCTGGAAGTGAAGGCGAAAGTGAGGCAGAGCAGAAAGAACTAGGTGGTAGTCATTCGAACCATAGAAAGAATGGAAAATCGGAGGCTTTACCACTTAGGCTTGAAACATCGGCGCTGGACAGACCTCCGAAGGCTCCGGCAATGCTTTCGTTGCCAAACGAAGAACATGAGATGGGGCATACGGTTTGTAGTTTAGGCATGGTTCGCATTTTGATATTCTCAAACTAGATTTGGAATTATTTATAAAGTTTTAGGACGAAAAAAGCGAAGTCGCATCGATCGGGAAAGATAGTTCCGTGGAAACAGTTGAGCATGCAGTGTTCCAGAGGTACATTTCATGTTGTAGTTTAGGGTTTAAGTCAAACGAGAATTAGGGGTGAATTTCACCTTTTGATTAGGTTTCTTAAAAGCAGTTACACGAATATTTTTGATAATAATATTTAAGCAACAGCAGTTGTCGGCAACCAAGCTCAATCCTTAATCAGTCCCCAATTTTGCCACCGAACTCGATCCATTCAGACCTCTCTTCCCAAAGCTTCGTATCACCTCCCTGTTCTTTGCAAAAGGTAATTTCTAATGTTATTATTTGCTCTTCAATAATTCTTTTCCTTCGTTTATTGTCTAAATGTTGTGTTTTAGCGCAATACATCTGATGGCTCCTGTCGTACTCCTCTTTCACAAATTGAGGCAAGTCCTGGCGAAGTTTTCATTGGTTCCGCTGACAGGAATAGCGTTCGCTCGAACCCCGCAACTCCACATCATTTATCAACCCAAAGCCATCCAGGTGTGATTTGGACTAATTACGGTTTACTTCCGTTTCACGAATTGCTGTTCAATACGACTCTATCGGAAACTTCTGCGCAAGAAAAATCTGCGATTTCATCAGCTGCTGACCGAATTAACAAAGTGGAATTAATAAGATGTATTATTTCTAGGTTCTGAAATGATGTTTTGTACTACAACGACGGGCGACATGTGTCTGACTATGATGACTGAAACACCGGTAATGGCAAATAACACAAAAAGTATGGTAAAACCGTCGACGCCGGCAGTGTTACCATCAACGACAACTCAGCACCATTCACATCGACGTGGCTCTAAGAAAGATCAAGTAAATTCTTTCAGCAGTCGCCTTCCATTTGTAGTCCAATGAATATGATGGATATGGCGAAACAGATATATGGTGGATGCCTATCTGAATTCTTATTATGTGATGTTCTGTATACAGAACATGATTGAATAGTAGTGTGAAAGAGGCCTAATTCTGCCATCATGTAGTGACATGAAATTTCCGATCTCGCTGGTTAGGCTGCAGGCGATTCGAAAATGGTACAGTTAGAGGAGTTTTCAAGAAATTGAATCTTCTTTGTTTAAGTTGTGATATGGTGTTTATTTTTTTATTAAGATTTGATTGACAAAGATAAAAGATAAGGATATAATATGAGAAGGAAATGAGGGGAAAAAACTTCTTTCGAGCAAACCGACTAATTCCTTAGTGTCTTTCAAGAATTTCTTATACAGTGTTATTACCGTTTTGTAGAGTCGTTCATCAAAAAACACTTCGAACGTCCAGAGAGCACAGATGTTTATGCCTCCAACGCCACTTCCGCCATATGTACTTGCAGCGCCAAGCGCAGGACAGTCATTTATGGGTCCTTCACAAGTCACACATTCTCAGACAGGTATTTCCTTTCAGTACATTTTACTTCCTTATAATTTCAACATATCTTTAAAATTGCATATGAGAATTTTGTAGTTCAAACAGTATTAGTGATTCGAGATTGGATGTCCCAGATCACCAATCTGGCATTTTTGATTACGGATCTGAATCATTACCTGATGGTCGAGCTAACGTTTTTAAAAATGTTTTTTATTCATTTTAGCGTTTTCATTCTAATACTGATGTGCTTATTGCTCATAATTTAATAAAATCCATGTTCGTGAGAAAATCCCTAACAAGAAAATTGTTTTGCTGTTAAGGCATCGTTTTGCAGGGTCCTACTATGGAGGCGGTTATGCAAATTCGCGACATTCCGCTTACTTCGATTCACAGTTTCATCCAAGTGCTTTATCGGCAGCAACCGCTTCAGCAACTTATCCAGCATCGAGTGTAAGCTATCCATCCCATTTAGGTGGAATAGGTAAAACATATCCTATGGGAGCTGCTGTTCAGAGTGGTTTTTCGTATTCTTATCCTCGTGGTATGCATCAGGTAATTTTTTTATTTTAAACTCTTCCAAAGTCAGCTAAAGATTTCATGTATGTATGTTGAGTAGGTATCGATGTTTTTCTTGGGAGAATTACTTGAATACATATGAGTAAAACTGAGGTAAACTATGCTTTTTTAACTCGTATGTTAATGACTATTCTTTTTAGGCCGGTGCCAATGTGGGGCTATCAAGTGGTAGCGGAACCATTGGACCAGTAACTCCACAGCAAATGATCAGTGTACAGTGTCCAGAGTTACAGAGCAATGGTCAGGCTAACGCAGCAGCTTCATGGAGGTAATTATTTTTATTATTATTGATTTATTTTTTATTCCTTGTTCACTGTGAGGAGTCGATAACTTCACCATTAATAATTAGTTACAGCGTAGATTTTAGTCATTGCTTCTCATATTGTAATTTTATAATTTTTCTTTTCATTCAGATATCCTACGCCGTCGGCCGCATTTTCGGGTCATTTTATGGACGCATTTGGTGGTGGTATGCCATCAGCGGCTAGTGGTAGTCAGTTTGCATTACCAAATCAGCTTTATTATCAACATGGATATCATCCGTATTTGATGCCAATGATGCGAAATGACTAACTTTTGTGCTTGGATTACATGATTCAAACAGTTTCTCTTCGTTTTTCAATCCTGTTAGAAGAATTTTTTTTTTTGATTTAATGAATTGTGGGTATTGTATTTACATACTTAATTTATATCTGTAAAAGAGCATCTATTATTTGTCACTTGATATTCATGAGCACTTAAAATATATCTTGCCTG